CTCCTCTGCACACCGATGGCTAGGCGCGGCAGTCCGAAACAGCCAAATGTTAGATCTTGAAGACCTAAAAAGCCTTCATCATCCTGTAATGATTTGATTAGTTCTATAATATGCAATATGTATATAATGTGGGTGAAGATGGGGACAACTATTTGTAAGAAACTAGAGACAGATAGATAGACAGTGAAGCTCTCCAGTGGACTTGCTTAGAAATCTGTATTTCTTTAAATTGTTTAATTGTTTTGTTTTGTTTTGATATGTTTAATCTTACCCTCTTTGAGATGTAAAATAATGTGTAGGACTGATAACCATATTACTGAGTTTTTGTTCAATCATTGAGCAGAACTGTTTGCAGTGTCACTTTTTGAATGTCATTTTAAATTAATTTTGTAACCTGGACAGCTATTTCTAAGATGACAATATGTAACTTATCAACCAGTGATTTCTTACCGTTTATTTTTCTGTAATTTTGTACTATATCTACCCTTTTTTATCTCCATGTATTTTTCTGTTTCCTTTTCTTTAAATAAAAAAAAGTAATAAGACAAATTCAGAAGTTGGACAACTGATCTGAAAAAATTTTGTTTTTCCTTTTGGTACTGGGGATTGAACCCAGGATATCCAACTAAGCTGCATCTCCAGTCCTTTGAAAACTTTTCATTTTGTGTTTTGAGACAGAGTCCCTTTGAGTTTCCCTGGCTGGGCTCCACCCCCAACCCTCACGTCTCAGCTTCTTAGTAGTTGGGATACAGGCATAAACCATGGTATCTGGATTTTCACTATTGTAGAAACTTCATATGAGTGTGATTTTAGACTGTCCTTTTAAGATTGGCTTACTACACTTAGCACAATATCCTCAAGGTTCCTCTGTTGTAACATGCAACAGGAAACCAGTCAAGCTGGGATTTTGGATTAGAGCCTGCTAGGCAAGAGTTCTACCCCTCATCTATACCATCATCCTGGAACATGTTTTGCAGAGGCTGTACAATATTCTGTTATATCTACGTACTGTATTTTTTCTTTCCCTACCTTTCCTTTCCCTGAATTTGAAGCTAGGGTCTTTACATTAAAGCTATATATCCAGCTCATTATTTAAAATTTTGAAATAGGATCATACTGTGTCACTAAGTTGCCCAGGCTGGTGTGTGTCATACTTCTTTCCATAAGCAAATAGAATTTTAAGATACACCTAAAATCTCAGACATGCCTCTCTCCTCTTTTACACTTTTCAGAACTTATGAAGTTGGTAGTCATTCTGTCACATGTGTAAAAATACATTAAAACCATTCCTTTTAAATACTAAGATTCTATAGACTACATTTAAAAAGAAGTGCAGGGTGACATGGATAATTTGAATATGCTTGTAAGCCACCATCTACACTAAAGCTGCAAAAAATGTTTTCAGGTGATTTCCTTATATGAAGAGAAAACTATTGCACTTAATTTAAACATGAATTATCAAGCCAGGCATGATGATACATTCCTGTAACCTCAGCACTCAGGAGCCTCAGGTAGGAGGATAGTTGCAAGTTCAAGACCAACCTGGGCTACAAAGTGAGCCCAAGGCCAGCCTGAACTGAATAGTGAGATTCTATCTCAAAAAGACAAAAAAAAAAATTATTTACGTCCCATAACCAATTTAATGCCTACTACATACTAAAAGAATGTGCCAGAGAAGGGAGTGTATTTCACTGTTTCTCTTTTCTCCTTTCTATCACATACTTTTCCATTTCTCATCTCTCTATTATTTCTACCTGTAGTTTTTGATCATGTAGTTTTGGATACAGTCTTGAGAAGTGTGTCCAGAGAGCAGGACATTGCTTTTTGTCTTATCTGCTACAGTGACTTGGCAGACCCCTTATAAGTTTGCCATTATCGTAGAGCTTAGTTTCAACTAATTTTACAAAATTTTTGCCAACCACTAATAAACACTTCATTGTTTACAACATTTCAGGTCTGTATTGTTGCTTGAGCTCTTGCCACCTGTCCTTAATACTTAGGGTGGGATAAGGAATAAAACCTATTTATACAGTGATCATCACATCCTGAGACACTTTTATGGTTTTATTGACAATGGCACAGTAAATTGCCTCTTCCCAAATTTATGTGACACACAAAAGCGACAGAGGGTATATGCTTGGTAAATTGCAGAACCATCATTTCAAATTCCAAATATTTCAAGAAGACTTTAACATGTAATGGACTCACAGATTCTCTCTCTCTCTCTCTCTCTCTCTCTCTCTCTCTGTCTCTCTCTCTCTCTCTCTCTCTCCCTCTTTTCCTCACTCCCTAAGACACTTTACACATGTACAGCAGTTTAAAGGAGACTCTGATGGTTCTCCCAAGATTATCCTTTTGTTTTCTACCCACTGAGTTAACTTAAGTTGTCTCTGAATAATCTCAGACACTCTTTTACTCCTATCCAAGAATAAATACATGAAAATGGAGTACAGTGCAATAGATTGCTTACTTATCTCTCAGACTCTGTCCTTTGTAAAAAGGCTTTTTATTTAGAACTACTTGAAAGTAAAATTTGAGATGCACTATTGAAAGATAGGAATTTTATACAATACAGAATTTTGGGATTATAGGGAGCTCAGTAAACATTTCTCATTTCTCCACCTGAGTTATAAACCAGTTATGAAGATGAGAAGATGTCAGTCACTTGAATGGCAATAGTTATCTTATTGCTCACTGAGACAGTAGAGAAAGTTGAGAGGCATCCATCAGGAGCAATATATAGTCTGTGTAGGCTATACTGTCTAGATTCCAGGAAGAAAACAATATGATATTCTTATAACAAAATATCCTAAGGTTACATGTCTCAGAGTGCATTCCAATCATTAAATAATATATGACTGTATAGTAAGCACTCACATACCCAGAATTAAAACAAAGCAGGTATTAAAATTCTTACCATATGTGTTTCTATAAATAATAGAATTTTTCAGATATATATACCTAAAGGCTCAAACCTCCAACTCCATCTCTTCTCTTTTGAGAACTTATGCATTACTCTGTCATATATGTAACAGCATGTTAAAACACTTCTTTCTAAATACCAAGATGCTTGCTAGGTATTGAACTTCAAAAGAAATGAAAGACGACCTGCAGACTTTGAACATGTTAACCAGTAGAAGACTGGTTATGAACATTCAAGCTATCATCCATGCCAAGACTACAAAAATTTTAATTGACCTTTATGTGAGGAATAAAATGTTGAATTTAAAGATGAACTGTGTTCCTTGTCCCCAGTTTGGGGCCAGGTACAAGCTAAAAGACTGAAGCAGAGAAGTCAGTGAACTCTACTACTTCTTACTTCTTCCATCTACCATATACTTCTCTCAGATCCATGATGTTTGCAGATTTGGCTTCTGATCCTATAGGTTTAGATATATTCCTTGAAAGAGAGTTCAAAATACAAGACATTAGTTTTCCTCTTGTCCTTCTGCATTGATCTAACTGGCCGTTTTGAGCTTCCTAGTGTTGTAGACTTGACTCCAACTAATCTTAGAAAACTAATATAGACCCCTATTATTGTATAGCCATTAAAGATACTTCACAATGCTGATAGCACATCAGACTTGTAAGAGACAACAATTCAGATTTTTTAAGAGTGATCTGGCAACCACTATTGTCATAATAAAGAGATGAAAATTATCTATGTAATTATCACCATGGCCTGAACCTCTATGTTTTTATTAATAATAGTACTATAAATTGCCTCTTCTTACATTTCTATCTATCCAGGTTTCACATATATTTCCTTGCTAGTTTCAGTTGTGTATGGGGCAGGCAAAAGTGGCAGAGGGCACAAGTTTGAAAAATTATAGAAACACCGGTTCAAATCCCAAGTATTTGAGAAAGGCTTCCCTCTCTACTGGCCAATACACACACACACACACACACACACACACACCTCCTAGCATTCTATTTCCTTTGTGTTTACTAACAGTGTTCATATGGATTGTGACAGTTTAGAAAGACGTGCATGGAAAGCAATCTCTTCTCCCAAATTCTAATACAACAGCAACCAAATCACACCTATTTTTACAGCCAGTGTTGATGTACTGACAATACTTGTGCCCAGTACATAGCACACCATTGTATCACAGCCAGTTCTCCTGACTCCAGATAACCCCTGAGCATCAGGAGTCAGGGTACACATCCAGGAACTTCTGGGATAGCAGCCCTGTGACAGCAGATGCCTTCAGTCCACATCAATATGAGGTCAAATCCCATTGTCTTATTCTAAAAGCAGATTCCAGACCACTGGTAATGTAAGATTTCAGTTTGGCAGCTCAATAACCCAACATCTGGGTTGCTTGGGGTGTGCAGGTGGCTCAAATTACTCATGGGTCAGCTTGGGAATCCAGCTACCGACCGCACATCTAGTATTCTCTCTAATCTATTACTAATGTGTTTTACATCTTTAAAGATCCCAGGATTTCAATAAGTAGGACATAATTTCTATACTTATATTGGTCAGGAGAACAACTAAATAACCCCATATCAGATCTCATGGGTAAAGTCCATGGTGTCAATTACCAAAACCCAAAGTCAACTTGGCACCATGCAATGGACATATGTCACTAGAAGAATTTTAATAAACTCAATTTCCTGAACCTATGCAGGGGCAGAGTCTGTCTCTAAAGAAATTATTTCCCCTAAACTCAAGGACTAAGTGATAAATACATGCAACAGAATTCAGTTATTCAAAATCTAGGTTTTTACCTACACATGCCCTAATCACAGAAAATCATGATTCTCTGAGCAACATAGTCCAAGAAAAATAAATTGTCATCTTCTTTGATACTTTCCTGTAGGAAATCCTTATTAATTTCAAGACTGAGAAGAAATTCTTTCCATCGTAATAAAAATTTCTAAGAAAATCATTCAATAAGATTCAGAGGAAACTTGAAAAATTCATAATGCCAAAGGATTGTATTTGCACTTTCTCTAAGAAGAAAATCCAAGTAAAACAATCTATTAGAAGGCATCACAAAGAAGAAGAAGGAGGGGGAGGAGGAGAAGAAGAAGAAGAAGGAAAAGGAGAAGGAGAAAAGATGAAGAAAGAAGAAGGCGGCATCACAAAATCACCCACGCCTCCAAGGCATTATTCCAAGAGAATAGTTTACACTGTGACATTGACTCTCAAAGCCACATATGTCTGAAAAAGTGGAGACTCTTCATCCCTAAACCACTGTGCTTTCCAGCATTTCCGGGGCTTCCTGAATATATCTGTCTCCACTTGCACTCTCCTGAGGAGAATCCTGCAGAGCCCTCTGAAGTACCAGCTTGAGAGTCTGATGCTTCTGCCTAAAGGAGCCAATTAAGAAGTAAATGATGGGGTTGACACAGCTGTTAACACAGGACAACACAACTGTGGCTACAAAGAAGTAATAATTACTGACTTCAAACCAGGCTATCAGGAACCAGAAAATGCCAAAGGGCAGGCCACAGATGAGGAAGGCCAGGACCGTGAGCAGAATGGTCACATACAGCCTGGTTAGTGGCATCCGTCGGGAACCACAGAGAATTCTGACCACCAGGGCTAGGCTGGACCCAGATAAAGTTAGAAATAAAAAAATCAGCCATGCAGCTATGATAAAATCAATATTTTTCCACCAATCATTACCGGGTAACACATTCAGGAAGCCAGCATAGTACCAGTCCAAGAGGCTAAGCAGCAGGGACAGGGCCCAGAGTAGGGTACACACAACAGCTGATGTATGTCTTGGACGGTGACAGCGGTACCAGATGGGCCACAGGACACACAGGCAGCGCTCTATGCTAATGGCATTGAGCATGCTTAGACCTGCAAGGTATGGAATAATTGCTATGTAGGGTATGTTGACATAAATTATGTAGATGTGGAGGAAGGCTATGATATTAAGCAGGGAAATAATAAAGTGCCAGAAGAGGAAGAGGAAGTCAGATACAGCCAGGTTGAGGACATAGACTGAGATGGGGTTCCTGTGCATGCAACATCCCAGGAGACTGATGACAACTGCATTTCCTGGCAGCCCCACTAGGGCAATGATGGTGATCAGCAAGTGTGGAATCAAAACCTCAACAGGAGGCTGAATTAAGTACGGGTCACTTCCATTCACTGTGGTGAGTTCCATGCCCTGGGATGTCATGGTTGGATCCACGCTCACAAACCCTTCACTGCTGCACCTGGGAATACAAACAATTTTGAGAACATGTCACATGATAACATATTCTCACAACCACAAAAAGAAGGGTTACAGGGATTAAGTAATCTATCTAGAGCTTTTTAGTCCTGGTTTAACTAGAAATAGATATAAACCTAGTATTTATTGATTCTACGCCTGAGCTTTCTCTTCCAAACACAAGGTTTCAAAAGTAAATGAACAGTCTGATAAACACCTCCACTCAATAGGCTAGGGCTACAAACCCAACTCTACTCTCTCCTGGGCCACAAGTTTCTTTCTCAGTTGCAGGAATACATAAGGACATGGTATTAATCATGACATCCCCCTGAGAAGGCTTCATTCATGGAGAGAAAGAACACCTTTATGGAGATATTAGGGGAATATAACCTATGTCTGGAAGAGTTTGAGGATGGTTGTGCCTGGAGAGCTAAAAATCACAGTGAATACAGCCCTTGAGGGTGTAAGCACGTTTTATATTCCAAGGGCTCAATTCTATGGCATATTTTTATGCTAAATATTTCTTAAGTAAATGAATGAAAGCACAAAAATCCATACAATCATGAATGATTCAGGTTAAACGGAAAAAATGAAAACAAGAAATTATAAAACATATATATTATGTTAAGAAGATTTTGTTCATCATAATCATTCTTGTTGACATTTCTGTATTTATAAGAATTACTTATGTTTGCCCAAATACCTAAAGTTGACCACTAAAGTGCTTTCAAAGTAAAGATTAAATATGGATTATCTCAGGAATTATAAGCATCTTGGTTGACAAAGAAAGGGTTAGATTTATGTTGGAGCCAAATTGTTCTGCAGCTTGGAAGTGAAAATGGAGAGTTAAAATGGAATCTAAGTGTCAAGCACAAGAAGTATTTGAAACGTGGCAATGACTGTGGAGAACTAGCACCTGGCACACTGTGGAGTGTGCAGCATAATCGTTCTCCATTCAATCCTGCTCATTGTCTCTCCAAGGATACCCTTAATACAGTCCCTCTGATGATGAAAGCTTCTGTGGAAAAGGAATCATGAGCAGAAAGTAGAAACATGCAGGGTTTATAATACAGAGAGATGTGTATGAACATATCAAGCAGAAAAAGAGGGCCTGCATGAGTGATAGTAGCTGAGAATTCACTAGGCATTCTCTTGTAATCATCTCTGGAGCCTATGAGATACACTCCAGAAAGAATGGCAGGATAAAGAAAACTACCAACAACAAAGGCTGGAGAGGCTGCAAGGAAAAAGGAACAGTTCTGCACTATTGGTGGGAGTGCAGACTGGTGCAACCACGGTGGAGATCAGTCTGGAGGTTCCTCAAAAGCGGGGATTGGAAGTCCCATTTGACCCAGCTATTTCACTTCTAGACATATTCCCAGAAGAAGTGAAAACATCATACCACAGTGATATATGTGCACCCATGTTTATAGCAGCACAATTCGTAATAGCCAGATCTTGGAAACAACTTAAGTGTCCATCAACTGAGGAATAGATAAAAAAGATGTGGTATTTTTATACAAGGGAGTACTACTCAGCTATAAGTAATGATTACATTCAGATATTTATAAGTAATATCTCAGAGAAGATGAGGAAAAAGAAAAAGGAAGGGAAAATAAAAAATATCTAAAAGTATAGTATAGCTAAGATGATTGTGCTACAAAGTCTATAAGTTTTTGGAAAAAATAGTTAACATTCATAGGATTGGAACAATTGTGCATATTATTGCATGGTGATCTGAGGAACTCTTCAAGATCATTATGTAAAATAACATCCCCAGTTATACTTATACCACTTTGTTTTGAAGGCCTTTATTGTGAGTGTTCTGGCCTCTTTGCTATTGTTGTTTGTACATCTTTTTTGTTTTATATTTTTCTAGGAATTTGTTTTGTTTTGTTTTTCCCTCTAGTACAAAAAGGATAAGGATTTATATAGACTCATACATGCATAGAACTTCTAAACAGTTTATGAGAATCATTTACATAATACATGATAAAATAAACACCTACTTTGAAGAAAAAGAGACACTAAGGTACTCTGTGCTGATGCCATAATGTACAATCCAGCAATACTATTACTCTTTGTTCAGAGTGATTTTAGTCTGTCTTGCTTAGTTTCAACATATGTGAAGGTATGGACAGCTATTTTGAAGAGAATGAAAGACATTATGGCAGTCATTGTCAACTTCCCTATTGTCTGGTCTTGAAGACCTAAAATGCCTTCATCATCCTATTCTGATCAGTTTCATAGTATTTTGTTTTGTATGGATTCATTGTTAATGAAGATATAGACAACTGTTTGGAAAAAATGAGACAATATGATAGACAGTGAAGATCTGTTGTCTTGCTTTGAAATCTGTGTCTCTTACATTGCTTTTTAATGATCTGTTTTGTTCTGTTATATTTAATTTTACCCTCTTAAAAATAAATTTAAAAAAACAGCCTATAGGATAAAAATTAGAATTTGTCCTATTTTGAACAGGATTTAAGGATGGAATGAAGATCCACTGCAAAAGAAAGGTGACTAATTTGTTCCTGGTCTCACAGTGTGGATCAGAACACAGGGCATGAGCCTTAGGGTCCGCTTTTTGATTGAGCCTTTGGACCCACCACTGCCATAGGTCAGGTATAGGCAGATGAAACCAAAGTAGAGAAGTAATGCCAAGGTCTGTTAAAGATAACAATAAAAATTTTGGGTGAAAATTAAATCTAACCTAATTGTATAAATAAAGAGAAAGAGAAGCTAAACAAACAGGAGCACAAGAAACAATGGGTAGAATTCAATAATGATCAAATAGTAAAATTTAAGGACCTTCACTTGCCTCAAATGGTAGTTGTGGCTTTAAAATTCTGAATATACAGCTGAGCCAGACATACACAAGTGGAAAGAGACTGCATCTTTCTCTGACCAGAAGAGAGGTATCCAAAGTGAATGCATCCACCATGAACTTCCTTCGGAAGACAAGCTCCCGTGGTCATGGCAGTTTTCAAGTAGAAAAGGGAGGAACTAGAAGTTCTACTACCCAACACTCATGCCAATGTTAAGCATCAAACTCATAAAAAGAGAGAGTAAAGTGGAAAATGACAGTATTTGGGGAGATTTGGGAGAAAGGACACAAAGCTTCATTCATAGAGGAGGCATAATTTTAATCTGTTAATCTGAACATCTGCTTCTAGGGTGTAATGTCGACCTTACCACACTTGAAACTCCCTAAAGAGAAGATTATTCTTGTTTTCTTCATGTTTCTACCATGATATTTATCATGTGCTCCTTAAAGGTCTTCCAGTGTAGTATATTCATGTAACATGGGAAGAAATTGAGGCTTAGATACGTGAACTTTCCTGAGCTCGCATGAGAAGAGCATGCCAGCCCCTGGAGTCCTGCTTGAGACTTTTCAGCTGCTCTCTATCATGTCATTTTTTAATTTATGAGTCTCTCCCAAAAAACTTAATCTGAACCAAAATCTGAAAAGAAGCCAGAGGCTGGAGAGACTTTTAGTATCCCCCATCCAGTCTCTATTCTCCTCTTTTGTGATACAGTGATTCTCTGAATTTAAATTTTAAAAAAAGGGTGACACTTTGATTCTGGATTGGACTAAATTGGAAGAGGAGAAGAGGAGGAGAGTGACATAACTAACCCCTGAGTGGTCTCTTCTTTCCCTCTTCTTCCCAAGGCTGGAAAGCTGATGCCCCTGGGAGTGAGTATGTGGACCACAAGGGTGATGATGGAGCCTCTCTAAGGTTTGGGGAAGAACAACTTGAGCTGTCTTGGAATCTGATGTTCTAGCATCTCCAGAAAGGTTCTAAAATATCTCCTGATTAAGTCATTATCCTACTTGAGTTGCTTTATGCAGCAGAGAATGTTTCCCCTTTTTAACTTACATTCCTTCTCAAAGCATTTTTGGTCAATGAAGTGAATGATCCCCAAAAGCGACAGCAAAGGAAGAAGCCACAAACAAAGGGAAAAAACTCCAAACAGTAGAAAGATACAAGGGATAGGAGAAAAAGTGTTTCTTTGCCGTGAAGATTTTCATGTCCTCTGTTTGCCACAAGGATTCTTACTCCATCCTTCTGTACCTGCTTTGGCATCCCAAAGAGCATGCCTTCCATGTCCTCCTCCATGAGATCCTTATCTTATTGTTTCTGGTTGAACTGAGCCACTGGGAAACATTGTCAGGAGACCGATGGGCAAGAGGAGAGAGACTGGGGTGTTTGCACCTCACTGCTCTTCGTAGGGTGCTTGGATTAGCAGTGATAGTGCTGCTCCCCACTTTGTCATCTGCTACAACTTCATATGTGACTGCACTCGCTCTGGGGAATGGTTTTTCCTTTATCTTTTAAAATTTAGAGCTGAAAATAATACATCACGTTCTTTATGAAGGGTGCGCAACTATTCATTGTTTCTTTCTCTTAACTCTTCTCATCTCTCTTTTTTTTCTGTTTTTGTTTTTGTTTTGTGAAACAGGGTCTCCCTATGTAGTACAGGCTGGACTTGAGTTCACTTCATAACTGAGGCTGGTCTCCAACTCACAACAATCTTCCTGCCTCAGCCTCCCAAATGCTGTGATTACAGGCATACACTACCATGCTCTTCTCATCTTTGTAAATAGTCAACCAAGACAACACTCTTCCATTATTCTAGTTTGAACCAAATTTCTCATCCTGGCCCTTCTGAAAAACGCAAAGGAGAATGACTTTGATAAGGCAGTAAAACAATAAATATTGGGTATCTAGCAGTTGAGTTTTGGGCAACAAACATGTTGTGTTACCTCAAGTTTTACATGAACATAAATGACAGCAGTGTCCCATGATGAATAGTCAGGATAAAAGGAAGAACACAGCAAGATGCAAGGGAAAGGAAGAAAGGTCGACTTGACCTCATTTCAAACTCCTGCAATTGGGTCTTCCTGCCTTCAATTTGCAGACAGAAGCTTTTGTCTGCTGTCTTTTGCTGAAGGAAGCACCATGTCCTCCTGGGCATCTC